ATAATATTATATAAGTAAAATATAATTTATAGATAATTTTTGTAATTGAAAGATATTATAGCCAACTAAATATATGAAAAATAAATAAAAAAATTCATAATACTAATTATAAACTATTTTTATTACTTTAAAAGTATATTTTATGTTATTTAAAAATATTTTTAAATGTATTATTACTATTTTGTGAACTTTTCTTTTTATGAAATCATAACATATACATATATTTTTCGTTTTCCATTTTTTATATGACTTTATAAAAAAATTACATATATTTTTGGAAATTTTTGAAAAGGAAACTAAATAAAAGAGTGAATAATATTATTTTTAATTATTTTTAATTCATTAAGAGTATCAGTATAATCAACAATCACGAGAATGAATGTGAGAACGACACATAAAAAACTGACTTCTCGAATAATTTTATAGAGATTTCCAGCTGAGGTCTTGAAACAAAAACATAATTCAGTAATTTACTTCAGAAACTTTTTTGAGGCGTAGAAGTAACCTTTTATAAAAAAAAAAAGTGAGAAGGACAATACGTCCAATTTAATAAACCAATGCCATAAAGAATCACGTTATCCTCCTTGCTAACTCAAACGTCACAAGCAGTTCCTAGAAGCATTCAATCAACTACTATTAAAAGGGGCAAATGAAACCCTCTTAGTTATGCCACCTAAGCAAAAATAATCAGCTAATAATATTATAACAATTCTTCACATCATTCGGTTTAGTTTGCTCAGCTTGAGACCCGATTTGGTTTTGGTTCATTTTTCTAATCTGGTTTCAGTTTTTTTTTTCTAATTTGATTACTGGTTTATGATGGAGGCAGAAAAAACTGCGTCTTTCTTTTGTTTCTCTTATCTTTCGACTTTCTGATCTTCCTTTATTCTTCTCTTCTGTTTCTACGATTAATTTCACCATTATTTCCTCTAATCAATCTTCCGCTTGAACTCATTCAAGAACTTATTCAATGGGTTTTTTTTTCACCTTCCTCTCCATTTCTGTATTTATAGATCTCTTTCCCTAGCTTACGTCTAGATCACATTTTCAATCCTTTGAGCTTCCTCCTCCCAGCATAAGCATTATCGAACACACAAATAATTATCTTATATCTATTTGTGTATCGAACACAAGTAACAATTGATATCAGAATTACATGCTACCTACCTTAAAATATATATTATTTTGTTATAATAAAATATAAAATATATATTATTTTGTTATAATTACAGAAACAATGATAAAATAAATTGTAAAAAGTGTTATAAAAATAGTGAAACAAATGTCAGATATAACTAAATATTTTCTTTTTTAACATTACATCGAGGTGGTTTAAGGATAAATAAATATATGTTTAAGAGTATTGTGAACACAAAATATAGGGTTAGTTTATTTAATTAAATGTGAAAATTTTACAAAATACTAAAACAAAAATCTCGAGCATAATTTAATACAAAAATGAAAATAAAATATTTATACTTGCATGGTCCAACAAAAGACAATGTAAAATAACCTGATAAAAAATAAGTAACAAAAATAAAATTAGATAACTTATACTAAAACAAACAGATTAAAATATCTATATCAACAAAATAAAAATAGACAGATTTTCATTAATAATCTCAACAATCTTTAAGAAAATTTAGTCATCTGATGAAACTGATTTTTTGTCTTTTACAGCAAACAAATTCAAAAAAAAGTAATAATATTTTTTTTGTAAAAGTTTACAAAAATAACATTTCATATATTAGTTAGAATAAAATCATTTAAACTAAAAACAAATGATTAATCATATAATGATATATTTGTTACCTTGGCGGCCGTTTTCTTAATACACATTTGTGTTTAATGAGATATACAAACTTAGACGACATTTAACACACAATACTTATTCCCCTTTTTTCCTCACATTTCATACTATACTATGACTTTCTCGCCTACAATAGCACATTATATGATTTTGCCTTCATAACATTACAAGAAATTTCAATCCAAAAACTACAACAACACATATATTTATCAACATCCCCGCGCTTGCGCGGAGCTACGCACATAATATTTATAATGATCTGGTATTAGATTTAAAGAAACCAAATATTATAGGAAATAAAGAATAATCACAAATATTCGTTTATTACTATTTCAACAAGTTATTTAAATACATAAGTTGCTAACTAAATATAGACTATTATGCAAGTTGAATCAAAAAAGTTCAACCCATGAAAGTTTATATACTAGACTATCATTTCCTTTTAAACAAAAAAAAAGATTGATTTTCTCAAGTTCAAATGACTATCTTTTCTTAAATGTATAATTATGATGGTCACACAAATTTTTATGTCTTTGTTATAAAATTATATTTTGAACTATTCATGCATACAATTTGGTTCACATTGCATAGTCTTTGGAAACTTGATAAAAATATTAAGATGGGTTATTATTTTTAAATGGTTAAACAATAAATAACAACTTCAGTTAAATATTTATATGGTTTTTGACATAAGTTCATAATAAAAATATACCTACTAAAATGATTTTGTTGTTTGTTATTAAAAGCGATGTTATGTGACAAGAAGTGTTTTAAAAACCGGAACAAGCTAGTTAGATCATGACTCTCTCTCTTTTAAACAATTTTGAGTTGTGCTAAAAACTAACAAATTCGGTTTAAAAACCAGTTACTCGCTAAAATCGATGGTCTAATTTTGATATTAAACCCTGATGTTTTTTTTTTCAAATTCAAGTTAAAAATGTAAATTTTAAAAAAAAATTCATAAAAACATGTATTGTTTTAATATTTCTTTAACTACATTATTTTCATTATATTTTATATTATTTTTGAAGTTTTCATTTTATTTCCATATCATTTTACCTTCAAACAATGATAAAAAGTCTTATAAAAATAATTTTATAGTTATAAGTATATATGGATACTTAATTTAAAATTAAATTAAATTTACAACCCAGTTAGACCGGTGTGACCATTGACATAACTGCAATGTCAAGTTAATGTTCGGTTTGGTATTCAAAACATTGATTGCAAGGATAAATTAATATCATCAAGTCTATGAATAAATAGAATAAATAAATATTACTCATAACAACAAAATATATAGAATCTTAAATTTATATGATTTCATTGTAAACTTACAGAAAAGCCAATTCATTTTATATACTTATTTTCAGATTTTGATAGTGGTTATTTTCTACCAACATTTTGAAGATAAAAAACGACATATTAAAATATTACCGTAATTATTATGTAAGTTATTTATACCAAAAATAAAATGAGGGTTCTGTTTAAAAAAAAACTAGAAAATCCATATTTTGTAAAAAATGGTCATTATTAGTATTACTTATGAAACTCTTACTTGCACTAACTACAGTGTTTTTGTCAGTCGTTATTTTTTCTATTTAATTTAATACTCTATTTCTTATATTTTTAATTATAAGTTTAATTATATAACTAGATCTCGACCCGCGCAACCGCGCGGGTGTTTGTTTTCATTTATTTTTATAGAAATATTATGTTTTCAATTTTTTTAAACAATTTGTTTTCACTTCTAAATTGATATATATATATATATACTATATATGAGATATGTATATCATTTTTTAAAATATAATAATTTTATCATATATTAATTTTTCATCGAATAGATTGTTTCAAACGTTCACACTTATTTGTATCTTCTTCTATATATATTGTTTTGAATTATTATTTCATTATTAAAGTCGTAAATATATGTAAAGATTGGTAAAATATTATTTGATTCTTATCTTTGAATACATTGTAACATTTCTCAAATTTAGGAAGTTTAACAAAAAATAAAACTTTTAGCTTCATATTATGGAGTAAATAACTAAACATTTAATTTTTGTTATTTTTAAAATAAAATATATAACTTAAGAAATGTTTTTATTGGTTTAAGGTAGTACAGCTTAATCATTGTTAGAAAATGATGATTTTTTGTTATTTAAAAATAAACTATATAATTTTAAAAGTTAACATCGAAAAATATATTATAAATAATTAACTTATGAAGATATACTATTACAACACTAAATCATACCCATTTAATTTAAACATGTGTTTTATTATATTATCTATAAATCCAATGGGTTATCCACTTATTGTTAGCCCAATAAAATATTTAGGTAAGCCGAAAATTATATGTAACTAATTTTAAGATTACTAATTAATGATTGAATAATGTAATGTAACAAATTCTAGTAGATGATCCATTTTAAATATCACACAGTAAAAGAGTCATGACTTCTCTTTTAATATATTAGACTAGATTTTGACCCGCTTTAAAGCGCATAAATTTTTTATGATTAAAGATTTATATAATTGTATTTTATCTTAATTTAAAGAATGTTTTGGTATAAAATCAATTCACCAAAATTTGTGGTGATGGTTGTGTTTCATTAGTTTTTAGTTTCAGTTTTTATTTTAGATTTTGGTTTTTGGTTTTTAGTTTTTAAGTTTCTACTTTTGATTTTCAGCTTTTAGTTTGTGTTTTTAATTTTAGACCCGTTGAGTTAGTTTGAACTGATATTATCAACAAACAAATCCTAAATAATCGAACATCTAATTTAAAACTGAAAAGACGACAAAAAAAATTTGCAATAGTTTATTTTGTAGATAAACAAAAGCAAAAAAAAAATATAAATTGTGTTTTCTTCTTTTAGTTTTTAGATTTGGTTTTTGGTTTTACTTTACATTTTTTTAAATCAGTAAATTATTTAAGAAAAATAAAATAATCGAACATCTAAAGGAATTTTCACCGTTGTTCTCTCCGGCTGTGGCCTCATCTCTTGGCTCGGGTCTATAAATCTTCCATTTCACTCCCCCTCTAATTTTTTTTCTCAAAGAAAAATCCAGTGATATATGATGCTTTAACTAATAAAATATTTCAGTAAGTTGTTAGAATCACTGTACAAATATTTCGAATGGTCAAAGTGGCACGTCTTTTGGGTGGACGAAAAGTTCTGTTCACATGAAGATCAAAACAGCAACTACAAACTCGCCATGGATGGTTTTATCTCCTAGGTTTTATTATTTATTATATTTTCGATTTGTTTTCATTTATCACATAACGAGTGGTTTCATTATTCATATCCATTATCCATAATCTTTTGTTTGGTTAAACTTTAACAACGTGCATTTAGGTTGGGATTCCGAAGGATAACATCTACGCAATCGACAAACAATGTGCCGCTGATGGTGACGTGGAACGTTGTGCGACGCTCTACGAGGAGTGCTTGAGGAAACTGGTGAAGGAAAAAACACTGCCACTATGTCCAAATGGCCAATATCCTCAGTTCGATCTCCAGCTTCAAGGGATGGGTCCTGATGGCCACATGGCGTCTCTCTTCCCGAACCGTCCTCAGATCAATGTGACGGACAAATGGGTCACTTACATTACCGACTCTCCAAAACCGCCACCAAAGAGAATTACATTCACTTTACCGGTCATCAACTCGTCTTTGTACAATCTTGTGGCCGTTTGCGACGACAACACAGACCAATGTGCACGTTCCATCGCTGATATCTTTAAGAACAACAATCTCGACTTACCTGCTGCTCATCTTACTGCTCAACTCGAAGAAATATGGTACCTTGACAAAGCAGCCGCTTCATTGCTTTAGAGAGCCAGACGAATTACTAAATGGTGTTATTTTTATGAATAACAATCTCTCCTAATCATGCTTTGTGGAGCGTGTTGTTGGAGTTTGCTTGCATGTGTGTTGAACAACCAGCTATTAATGCATTTTGCGTATTTACTACCATAGATTTTATCACCAATTATCTCGACTTGAAGATGATATTTATAGTTTCTCAATAATGCCTCTGTCTTCACCTCACATGCATGGAAGAAGGTATGGTTTAGTCGTTCCTAATGGAACAGGGAAGGGAAGTCTACTCTGTTTAAAGCTTTTAGTATGGAGCAAGCTTCCAGTTCCCACGAATATTGGCATTCTTCTTGTTTAGTAAGAGGTGGCCGGTGATGACAAGACTGCTTTCGAAGCTGTTGTTTCTGCCAATGAAGAGCTGGTTAAGCTCATGGAGGAAGCTTCATCCCTACAAACAACAACATTATGGTTCGTGAACTGTTTAAGTCAAGGATAATTGTTAGTGGAGCTGCAGTTACGTCCACGGGATGGGATGTATTGCCCTTGTCAAGACCAAAGAAGAGCTGAGTTTCATCTTTTTTTGTCAAAATTAAAGTTTATACCTAGAAGAGCCTACTGGTTTATTTTCCTCGACATACTATCTATCATATACATGGTCTAATTTGTGATTGCAGATTTGCGTATTACATCCCACGTTTACCGTGCAGGAGAGTATTACAAATATATTGAATCGTAAAATGTGTATCTTACATATCACGGTTGTAAAACCCATAAAATCCATGAAGACCCTCAAAACTAAGAAAAAGATTGGAAGAGCAAGTTGATTCAAAATATTCTTAACATATTTATTTTAAATGTTAAGAAAGTTAGCATTATTTGGTGTTAACATTATGTTAATGTTATCACTATATATATGTGTCTTGTTTTTCATATGAAACCCAATACAGTAATATTCATATTCAATTCTATTCTACACTTTGTGAGACCGAGTTGGTGGTTTGGTTGGGTGTGTGTATAATTAACCGGCAGATGCATTTTGCGTGTCGCAGATTTGTTGTGTGGAGTGGACACGGATCGGATATCCGGATTTTCGAAGGTATTTGTGATTTGCTTCGTATGTTACGAATATCTGATTTTGGTATTTGCTTTGCTTCGGAAAAATACGGATATTCGGAAAAACGAATATCCGGAAAATAAATAGATATTTGCGGATATTTACGAATACTTACGAATATCTCATTCGTTACAAATAATCTTAAAATTTTGATATAAATTATTTTGTAAAATATTTTTTGCATGATATATAAAATAAAAAGTAAAGAAGTTGTGAATTTACATATTTTTTATTTTTTTAAGTTTAGGTTAACAATTATAATAACACAAAACTTAAGATTTTTTCTAATTTTCATAATTATTCTCTTCTTTTTATCTAATAGTTTTATATAAGTAATAATGTGAATATAATTAGTCAAATCATAAGCTATAATAATAATTTTATACATTTAAAATTTTAAATATAATCAAAAAAAAAAATATATATATATATATTTATATATTTCCGGATCGAATCGGATATCCGCTTCCCAAAATTTTAATATTTGTGATTTGCTTCGATTTTAACGGATATTGATTTTTGGTATTTGCTTTGATTCGAAAGTTTACGGATATCCGGAATTTTCGGATCGAATCGAGACGAATAATGAATCGAATCAAATTTAACGAATAAAATGTCCAGTCCTATGTGTGTGCGCCCCCAGCTGATGCATGTTTTACTTTCTTTTTTATCGTCATTAATTATCTCGATGTAGAAATGATTAATTGTGTGGCTCAAGAATTTCGACAACCATTTTAACAAAATCATCTGTATACTAGAAGAAATGGATGGCGTCATGGCGAACTAGAGAACGGAACAAGTAATTATTCGCCGTTGTCACTCATTCTAAATACATAAAATCTCACGTGTCTATGTGAAATAATTTACTATACGAAGTCCAGAGTCTAGAATTTTTCAGTGAAAGTGATTTTTCGTGGAGCTGTTGTTAATGAACAACTGCTTTAATTTTTAAAAGAACAGAGTATTCAAATTTCGTTCTGATTGTTGATATAAAGTTTTCAAAGGTTCAAAGGTATACATATGGACCAAAATTTCAAACCTTAGCGGTTTTAATTATATGAAAATACCTGCGGATCTATTATGTATATACTAATAATTAAACAGCGCTATCATTTGTGTCGATAAGGTCTAGTCATGTGCATGTAAGCGTGAAGTGGAGACAAAACAATATTCAAGTTGTACATTTGGTCTTGATAATATGTTTTATTTGATTTCCTCGTGGGTACTAACTAAATTCATAACTAAATTAATATAGAAGACCATATCGTCGTAGTCATTTAACAAAAACAAAATCTCATCGTACGCCTAAACTATTTGATTACTTTCTTAAAATAATTAAATAAAATCGAGAGCACGTTCCAACGACAATTCTAGGCAGCTCATCTTTTTGGTCTAAATAGGCACCTCATCTTGCGGATCAACACATGAAAATACGAACCAAAATCTGACTAGACAAAAAAAAAAAAAAGAACTTCTGATTTTGAAGATTTTTAAACCAATCTAGTTGAAATATCAATTCGTTTTTGGTCGACAACACGTCAAATTAAACGCAATTTTTTTTATATATAAACGATATTTTATGCGTTTGGTAACTTAAAAGATTGTCGAAATATTAAATACGGTAGAGTAATAGTACTACTGTATGTATATATTGTTAATTGTTGATGACTAACAATTAAAATAACGATTATTTTAATTAGCGAGTATGAACAAACCTTGACTTACATTGCCTATATAAGAATCACAAGACTCGTAGCATTTTCTCATCATCATATATTTACCTTCATTAATTATTAAATCTCATTATATTCTCTTTTCTTTTATCAAGAATCATATGGCATCTGCTTCAGCGATCAAGAAGAGGGAGAAGATTGTGTTTCCCACTGAGAATGACGTAGCTACGGCTATGGCCAAGTACACGTTCAATCTCTCGAAAAGGTTCTGCAAGGAAAGAGGCTATTTCACCATCGTTCTCTCTGGTGGTGACCTCGTCTTTTGGCTCAAGTATGTACGATAATTTTTTTGATTATATTCATTTGTAGTTTATTTTTTGATAAAAATATTAATTTGTAGATTAATATTTTGATTAATATCTAATCTAACTAAATTTTGTAGAAAGTTGTTGGTTCCCGAGTACGCTGAGACTGAATGGTCAAAGTGGCACGTCTTCTGGGTTGACGAGAGGGTTGTTCCATTAGACGATAAAGACAGTAATTACAAACAGACCTTGGACAGTTTTCTCTCCGAGGTAACTTTATGATCGCCATGATCTTGATCTCCCTAGCTAGGTTTTATTTTAGCCATGAACTATTTTTCACTCTTACTTGGTCAATTAAATTGTGTCACACTTGTCTTATAAAATATTGGGAGTAAACTACTTGAGGGCTACAAAATTTAAAGATTTAACACAGATTTTAAAAAGAAAACAAAAAAAATTAGTAGAATAGTCCAAATATTGTAATATACAATTGTTTGTTTTTCCATATATTTATTTGTTTGATGGCTCTGATATATACTCAAATACAACGAATGTAGGTTCCTATTCCAACTTCAAACATTTACGCAATAGACCAAGACTGTGCAGCCCTTGGTGATGCCAAGGGCGCTGCAATACTTTACGAGGAGTGCATCAAAAGATTGGTGAACCAAAACATCATCCGCACATACAAATCCTCAGGATTTCCTCAGTTCGATCTCCAGCTCCTAGGGATGGGTCCAGACGGCCACATGGCATCCTTGTTCCCGGGACATTATCAGATCAATGAGAAGGCTAATTTGGTAACTTATATCACCAACTCCCCAAAACTACCACCCAAGAGAATCACCTTCACTTTACCCGTCATCAACTGTGCTTCCTACAACCTCATGGCCGTTTGTGGTGAGGCTCAAGCCGATGCGGTTGCAAAGGTCTTTAAAGATGATTTCAACTTGCCTTCAGCTAGGCTCACAGCTGATACACAAGCCATTTGGTATCTCGACAAAGCGGCTGCATCCAAGCTCTCATAATGCCTTTGAGATTCAGTTCCCATACAAGTTGTATCTCTTTCCTTTTACGTTTTCAAACAAAAAGCTATTGTCGGATGTAATAAATAAGATGGAGTTGGTTCGGTGAATCTTGCAAAACTGCTTTGTCCCTTGTTTGTATTTGTCTTGTCTGTTTTCTAATAAAGTAACAATAATAAATTGGTTTGATCCCGGTTTAATGTGATCACTGATCTTTCATTTGGTCTATAGTACTAATACTACATCTTATCCCGGAGTTGGATAAATATCAATGTATTTAATATATAATGTGCACATGTATCACAGTCATATTTTAAAAAATATAGATCATATATTGAATTAGAAATGGTTAAATCTCACAATTTACTTGTTTACCATCTAAAATGTCATATGAAAAAGTGAATAAATGAATGAAAAAACTAGTTAAATTTTAGTTATAATCAAAAGATTTTTTTTGGTCAAAGATTCTAATATTTTATATCTTACATATTTTAGATATCATGAAAACAAACTATCAATAACAATTGATTTGTATTATTTACTTAATATCACTGAACTTACACTTTTTATTTACCGTTGAGGCTCAAGTTACTGTGTTATAAAATCATTACTAAATTTTGAACCGCGCTTAAAAGCGTGAGATATTTTGTGATTTGTTAATTTTAATATATTTGATATATTTATAACATTTTTAAATCAGAGATTTTAATCTGATTCACTCGAACCGATAAATCTGGTGAACCTAGAATATGTATTTCGTCGAACCGGTAAACTTGGTGATCCGATATGTTAATAGTTTTAATTTTGACAAATATTCATTATTAAATACCTCATAAAACCCACAAAACTGTTAAAACCTAAAAATAACCGGTTGAACCAATGTATGATCGATATGTAA